ACGTAACTTGAGACGTTATTCTGGCTTTTTAGGGAAATACAACAAGTGAATAGGGAAAGACATTTTAGATCAATATTTCTATGAAATATGATATATTCTTATGAAAATGTTGCCAAGTTAATAGTCCTATTATTACACCTGATTACATGTTGCCCCAAGAACATATTCATATGCAAATTAGATGCCATGTTGTGTAGATACATTTTATAGAATGGGAATACCAATTTATGGCCTTTTTACACACATATTGCATGAAGTAAAACAGTATATCAAATCGTTCCATTATATTTTTTGTAACATAGTTGAGAATCTTCTTTGTATAATTATTGATTGGTGTGTGGGGGGGGGGGGGGGGGGTTGTCATTGTAAATTACTGTACCCTTGACCTCATTTCATCAATAATCCTGGGCCGCTGATTCTGTGTGTTGCCGTGATTCCATGTAATATGTATTTCAGCACAATTAACCCTTAAATGCAAGGATGTTTCGCCAGTAATTATTATTATATTATTATAGCGACCCGGACCTATATATTCAACACGGATGGATCTCTAACTGCTGCAATAGCATAAAACTCTCCTGATATTTTAATAACAATTACATAAAATAATAATAATAGACAGACAGACAGACTGACTGATTGATTGTTACCATTTGAAACTTATAAGGGTTCAATTTGAGCAGATGATTTTACCATCACTGTCATTGTCAGAGAGCACTTCCCCTGTATATTCAGCATCTGGCTCATATTCACAATCTCAACTATATTCTGAAAACTATCGTTTTTAATGATTTCAGAATCAATATTTTGATTGGTGGCAGCTTGTTCACCACGTCCACCATCAAATGACAGTGACACTTGTAGAGTATCAGACCCAATTAGACAAATTAAAGATTCGATCAAGGACATTGTTGAAACACGAGGAGCCGAATTCCACAGAAAGGCCGAAGACACAGGATGTTCATAAATCAAATCCTGGCACCACGAGTCTGAAGCGAGCCAAACAAACTAGCAGCTTCGAACAGCTTTCAACATTAACATAAAAGAACACACTAATCATAACAACTCAGGAAGGAGATTGTCAATTTTGGGGCAAGTAAGCAAGATTAATGGTCAAAGACACAGCATATCATGACCATCCAATGAGGAAAATCATTAGTAGAAACTGCGTTGGGTGGTTTCCCCCACCTAGAAGACTTGACCTCTCAGGGTCAATTCTAAGAACGTTAATTTCCTGGTTAAGGGAAATAACTTTCTTACTGTATAAATACTACACAAAGCATGTAGCAGAAATCTGCACGATTAGGGACTGTGCTTTTGAGCAAACAATGAACAACCTCAAGTGTGATACAAGTAAGACTTTATTAACTACATAAACACTTAAACTAGTCTAACATACACATATACACACACACACATACGGTTGGTATAGGAACAGGATTAAAGCTTTGGCAGTAAAGAGAAGAGAAATAAAACATGAAGCTATGGTATCATTGGATATTCAGCAGATCTACAGCCTGAAGGAAACATCAGTTTCTTAGTTCAAACACACCTTTGTAAAAAGGTGCAAATGATACTTAATGTATCAATTAATAAGACTAAGTTTGATATTTGCACGTCTTGTCTGTCTGACAGAGAGTCCTGATGCAATCTGAAGGCTCAAGTAGATCTTTGTATGAATCTTTGATCTTTGACTTTGACCTTTGATCTCTTATGAGCTTTGTCTACTCGTTGAGACTTGTTGGTTGATGAAAAAGAACCAGTTTGAGTCAGATGATCTTGGTGAATGGACAGTCAAAGCCCGAGGCCTGGCGCAGACTTAGGGTGTCCTTAGAGCGTTTTAGCTCACATCCCCATCTTCTCAGAATCTAACAGAACCGCAGACTGAAGGCGGGTCACT